AATACTCGCCTTTCCTGTTAGAACCATTTCATGAGAAATATTACCAGCGTGCCTGTGGCCTGCAGTCATGGCCGAGTGGTTAAGGCGATGGATTCGAAATCCATTGGGGTTTCCCTCCGCAGGTTCGAATCCTGCTGCCTGCGTTTCTGTCCAAAGCAGCTCATGTATTTTCAGGTCTGGTAGTTAGTTGACATTCAGGGAAGACGTGGTCTGAACAAGAATCTTGCTGTACTCAAAACCTTAGCTCTGTTTCTCTTTCCACCGATACAACTGGACCTGTTGAGTTTCTGCAGTATTCTGTGTGTTTATTCTGCATAACTGCTGCTTTTCATGAAATATCTTCAATCCCAGTCCTCTGGCAACTGACCCTTGTCATTGGCACAGTTTCTCCCGACGATCAACCAGCTCATCCTCACTCCCACCCAACTCCATCATTACATACAGCCCCGGGAAATTGCCAGTTTTGCTCCAAAGAGAACATTCCCGGCCTCGGGATTCTGTCCACCAAACGGGACTTCCTCATCTCTGGACATGGTGCAAGCGATTTTGGGAAAATATTGTCAGTTGGTGTGGAGAAAATATTAAGGAAGCGAAACAGTAAACCCAGACTCCAGCTTTGTGAATCTTTAGGAACGTTTTGGGAACTGGAATCACAGGAGAATAAAGAGTGAACTTTCCGACTGAGCACAAACATTCCAGACACCTGCCACTTATTTAAAAGGCCGGGACATTGACTCAGATGTTCTCGGGACATGAACTGATCTGAGACATTGAAAGAATTCTCGTTCCTGCACATCAGGAATTCAAATCTCAATTCGGCTCCAGGACAATGAGAAAACTCGGAAATAGAAAGGGTCGAAGCGGGACGGGACCGGTTGTAGGAGAGCTGGTTCCCGGTGATATGGATGGGTCTGCAGAGGGTCGGATCAGACTGTTCCCCTGTCTCCTCAATGAACGTCCCAGGTTTTATTTTGGAAAAGTACAGCTGATACAAGACAATTATCATTCCAAGCGAGGCAGTTGGAAGTTTGAATTCACTACGAGCCCGCTTTAAGGGCTGCTGCAACAGCTCGCCATTTTGGTGGTGCAATTGGCTGGCACTTTCGACTGTGAAATGTGAAGTTGGCGGTTTGAGGCTACTGAGGAAGGAACAAGTGTTGTTCTCACTCTACCAGTTCCCTTTTGACTCTACAGTTACGGGTTTTAATGCAGTCAGGAACATATTCCCCAAACGTAAGTCTTGTCCGGTGAGTGACCACAAACGTATTTCGATGTTGCTTTAATAGCTACCATAAAGAGCTGGGAATGCTTGGAATCTGAAACAAAAACAGAAACTGCACTACAGAAAGGAGAAACCAGAGTTCTGAAGAAGTTCTGAAACGTTGACTCAAATTCTCTGCCCACAGATGCTACCAGATCTGCTGAGTTTTTTTTCCTGCAATTTATATTTTCACTTGTAAATGAACATTTATTTTATCTATTGGGATGAAACAACCAGAATCACCATGTACTAAATTTAGCACTTTAGAAATCTGCGAAGTGATTGGATTCAAACAAACCCAGCAATAATTTATCCATCCACAGCTCGACTGGCCACGGAAGCGACCTGAAAAGATAAACGGCACAGTACTTCTCCCAGTAGTCATGGCAAAGTGGTTAAGGCGGTGGATTTGAAATCTACTGGGGTATTCCTGCGCAGGCTTGAATCCTGTTGACTACGGATGAAAGCTGAGAACAAATGCAAAGGCAGTTTGCTCCCTCCATTCTGTTTGCGATGGGAATCAATGCTGGGAGAAATGAAACTTTTCACGTAGATTGCCAATGGTGGGAAAAGGCAACTCACTGCCTGTCATGGTAGAACAAGCACAAACCTTCAAAGAAGTTACGGTGTTTTAAGATTTACACTTGCAGGGCCAACTGTGGTGAGGCGGTGAGGCTGTGAGCCATGTGCTGGGAAATAAGACTAGAACAGTCAGTTCTGAGAAAGGGTCAGCGGACCCGAAACGTTAACCCTGATTTTTCTTCACAAATACTGTCAGACCTGCTGAGCTTTTGCAACAATTTTGGTTTTGATCCGAGAACAGTCAAGGCCTTGAGTTCAACTGGTCAGACCTGATGGGCTGAAGGGTCTTTTTCTGTGGTGGAGACCTCTATGACCAGCTGTGGTCAGCTTAGTTTGTGAAGTGATAGGACAACGTTTTCAAAATGCACCCGAGCCAGGAAGGTGTCGAACTGACTCTCCCCTCATCTGGCTATCAGACACGTTATCCATTGGGATTGGGGATAACTGGCACTGTGCATGTTCTTGGAATCAGTATCTGGGAGAATCAGGAAGATGCAATGCCGGTGTCTCTTCGCCCAGCCGTGTGCAAACCCATTGCTTCTCAATCCGTTCCTTGTGCCTGACATTCCCTGGACCTGCTGTCAAGGTAAAGATTGGTTTCACGATCTGCCTGTGTTTATATTGAGCAGCTCATTGGCCTTGGAGCTGGGCAGTCAGAGGGAGCTGGAGGTGAGACAAGGACAGAAGCAGAAAGAGATGCGACATGAAAGTGTTTCGGGTTTGTCGTGGCCAAGTTCACACAGGTGAGCTGATACACTTGTGAAGGTCTGAACGGTCTTCTCCTGTTCTCAGTCGGTCTGGTCCGAACTGAATCTTAAAACTTCCTCTCTGAGATGGGAATAGACCGGTGAAGTAGAAACACATTACTTGCAGTTATGTTTTCCATGCCTGGCAGTAATTCCCCACGCTGTTTCAGACGTGAATGACAAAAGGATCAGGATGTCAGAGGCTGCATCATGACACAGATACAGTTCACCATTACTAGGGACAGATATCACCAATTGTGAATAACGACAGAGAAATACAAGAGGCAGAGAGTCACCGTGCACTCGATGGGCTGAACGGCTTATTTCTGCACGGGAATGATGCCATGTGTTGATGACATCACTCTCCCTGTCTCTGTGACGGAGCGGGTGAGGGAGAAACAATGGCTCATTATTAACCCTCCCTTCCGCGTTGTACTGTCTGCAGCCCCGCAACTCAGGGCCGTTGGAGATGTCTCTCAGTGCGTGAGTGTTTCACTCAGAGTCACTTAACGCGGGACTGTTGGTGTCGGACATTAACTCCTGCTGTGGAGGTCACAAACGAACGGGCGCCCTGTGTGCAGGCAAATTCTGAACATCAAACAGGCTGCACAGAAAGATCGCATTTGAATTTGCTGAAGAGACTAATTTCTAGTTTCGACTTCTATCTTTCCCAGCAGCTCTCCATGCTTCTGTCTGCCTCTGATAAAAGTCATTTGATGAAAGTTCCAAATCGCCGTTTACAATTTTCTGCACAAGTCTGATTCCACCCCTTCTGCTCCTTCCTTCTTCCAGTGTTTGAGAGACAGCGACAAAGTGTATCCCACCTTCCAGCGCTGCCTGCCCGTGGCCAAATGGTTTAATGCATCTGCCGATGGCGAGAGCTCTGTCCCAGGGGAAGGGAGACAGAACGAAAAGAAGATGTTCATTAAAGCAACGGGGAATGGAATTTTTTTCAGCAATACGTTCAGATATGTTATTACATACCTCTGGAGCAGATAGAACTTGACTCTGTCTCCTACATCTGAGGTAGGGACACTATCACTGCCTGAGTGGCACCTCATTTATTGTTAACTGGGCTGTCAATAGACTGTGTTATTGGTCTTGTGGTCTAATTCTCACATCAGGCAGTTATTCGGAATGCGAGAAGTTGTAGGCTTGAATCCCACATGTTGTTGCCTCTGACGTTTTTTTAAAATGTTCGGGAGAACATGGGGGTGGTTCTTTATGAGATCGATTTCAGTCTATGATCCCAAAGTGTGTTTGCTGCGAATATATCACGTGCATCCCCTTCACCTGATGAAGGTTCAGGGTTAGTAATAGTCTGAAATTACGTTTCGTTGGATTGGTTCGTAAACGAGCACAGTAACTGAATAAAACGATGGCAAGTCTCCGTGGAGAAAGAGGTGACAGTGAATGAGGCATCTGAGGACAAATTTGTTTCTTTTGCAAGTGAAATTTACTGCTTCCCAAAGTGGGGTCCATTGAAGTGAAGCAGTGACAGAGATTACCTTTGCTGGTGCTCACCTCGTGAAGCACATTTCTACCTTGGTCCCTGTTAACATCACAACCGGACAAGATGGACCTTG